CTAACTACTTCTTTAATCAAACAAACAAAGCCAAATAGTTACCTCATCGTGAACGAGAGGTAGAGATGGATGAGAAAAGAATTTCTTGCACACATCACTTGAAGATCGTCCAGCCATGTCCAACACAAAAACCCACAAATACATCAAGAAATCAAGCAAACTTACCAAACCACAAAACTCACTGTAACAGTTAGCACATGACATGTCGAACACATTTCTTTCAATTGGGACTATCTCGAGACATAAATCAAGTGGACAACGAATTGGTAATAAACCGTCCATTTTCGGCGATTCAACCTGCGAAGCTTTAGAAATACAGTCAGAACAAGTAACTAGAAGGAAAAATGTAGAGTAATGCGAGTCATATTGTTATTATCCAAGTACTTTATTGTATGCATAATTTTCACACATAGAACGAATGTTTCTTCAAAAGCTATTTTGAGATTTCTAAGAATAGCATAATTTCAACTACCTTATCATATACACAAGATAAGGTAGGCTGAGAATATAAATTAGCATAAATATCGAATTTTTTTTCACAACTGTTTTGACAATCTTAATTGTATCAATAGTATGTAGGTTAAAATAACAACAAAATAGGACAAGTGAATATGGAAACTAACAATTCAAGATAACAATTCATCTAATCACATATATAAAAAAAAATGAAACACAATTCAACTCTAGCTCTAGCATCAGTTTCAAACTTCATCATATATACGAAATAAAGTAGGATGCGAATATAACTTAGCACGCATATAGAAAGTTTCTTCAAAAACTGTTTTGAAACCTTGAAATGTATCAACAATATGTAAATTAAAACAAAAATATGATAAATCAAGATGAACTTAACAATTCACCTCATAGTATATATAAAAAAAAGTAATTGAAACACAATTCTTAATCGATGACACTAAGTATAGTTTTGTCCAAACACATTATCTCTGATTTGAATTTGGTTGAAGCAAAAAGGAAAATGACAAGTTGTTCCCCACTCCATCTCCTAAACTAGAGAATATAACCATCAAATAAGGCAGAAATACAATTAAAAAAAAATATTTATATATATATAGTAATTGGAAAAAGATTAGAGATCCCAAAAGATAATCAATATTCGAGATCAAACATTTTGTAAAAGATTCGAACAAACCAATCCAACCGACAACAAAAACTAAGAAAAAATTTAGGTTTAAGTTTTGAAAACTGACATTTTTAATGGTGTCGACTCTAGGATTTAGATTTAAATTATCAACAAGTTAAAAGCTATATATAATATGATTTCATTATTAAAACATCCCGTTTTATTACTAAAAAGTTTGCATTGCTAAGGGATCGTTAACATTAGCATACCACAAATCTATTTTGATTATTAATGAATGTGAAGCAATTAAATTTTGATTTTATTTATTTTCCGTAATGTTGGAGATTTGTTCAATTGTTCCTCCTAAAATAGATTTTAAGTGTAGGATTTTGAATTTTGATAGATCTCTTTAGAGCATCTTTATTGGCGGTATCTTATTGAGAACATCTCCCATCTTACACCAAATCTTATTATAGTGTAAAAAATGTTCTAACACCATTTTAGTGTTGAAATTTTAAGTTTATACTTAGAATATTTTTTTCGGTGTAAAAACATGTGAAATACATTGGAGAAATATAACACCCAACATCATTTTGGTGTTACACCATTTTAGTGTAAAAAATGGTAAATAGAGATGCTCTGAAATAACTGTGAGATTTTTTTACTA